CCCCCTTTTTTTTTTTTTTTTTATTCTTCCATTTGTCTCGCGTTCGTACCTGTATTTTGGAACGTTCTGACGGAAGAAACCATCGTTCTTATCCTCTGAAAAAATTCGTCGAAGCGAAATCATAGGAGAAAAAGAAATTGTCAAATTTATCGGTGAAACGGAAAATGAATCGTGTTGAAACTAAGGAAGATAGAAAGTTCCAAAATAGGAAGTACGAATATTTACTACACGATCCATGTATGTGTACTGTGTACGTCTGTATACACACCGATATATTCCCTGTTAGTATACTCGTCTTGAACCTAAATGCTCGATCTATATATTATACATACGTCTGAATAATACCACGTATCATGCATTTGAACGCAAGTGCGCGTGTACTTGCACCCTGCATACGAACACAAAGAAAGACACACAGAAACACACGAACAGAAATTCCCTTAGAATGCCACGAATTCTCTAATCCTTGAGTCTAACAAGTAGATGAGCATCTTGCATCCGTAGAAGGAACGTCACACCCGGTATATAACGCGACACGAGAAATTGCTCCCCGTGAAACAAATTTCACTTGTCTGATTATATACATAGAGCCTGTGTGTTAAAATTCTGTTTCACTGTTTATATTTTTTTCCTTTTCTTTTCTTTCGAGTTTTTCTTCCTTATTTTTGTCTCGTTTATGTTCGTTTCCTTCCACTCTCTCTCTCTCTCTCTCTCTGTCTATCTCTGTCTGTCTTACTATATTTTTGTTTAGTTTGTCGTTGCGTCTTTGTATTTACTTGTATTAATATGATACGAAAGACACATCGTCGGGGACACAACATGCTCGAAGCTTACATACAGATAGAATCAGGTAGGACACCGCAACGAGGAGGGAGTATCGTTTTCCACGGGGTGGAAATGTGTCGGAGAACACGTTTTCTCGATTCTCCGTGGAACGAGAGTTTTTCGCGTAGGATTTTTCCGGAGGTTTGAAGAGAAATTGTAGGAATGGGGCCTAGAGGAAGCTTGGAAGGTAACGTTCTAACGTGGACATTCGAAAGGGTGGAAAAGGAAAATTAGAATTAAATGGAAATGTTGCAAATGTATTTGAAATTTTTTTTCTAGTGGAATTTTCTTGGATAAAGGAACGAGAAAACGAGGACTAAATATGAATTTTAAAGGCACGATATTTGAAATTTTTCTGACGACAGAATTTTCTTAGAAAATGAGGATCAGACGTGAATTTTAAAAACTGAATATTTGAAATTTTTCTCACGATAGAATTTTCTTAGATAGAGGAACAAGAAAATGAGGAGTAAACGTGAATTTTGCAAACGCAATATTTGAAATTTTCTCGATTTTCCTACTCTCTCGAATGTCGCACTTGAAACGATCGAAAATTGCGATTAAAAAGCAGCAGAGTAGGAATCACACGAACTTTTATACTTCTTAAGAAATTACAAACACGATTTACACTGTTACACGGAACTTGAAGCGCAAGAAACGAGCCGAGAAAGTGTCTACGATTAATCGAACGAGAGACCTAAATCTTACCTACCCGACGAAAAGAAAAGAAAGAAAATTCGCGAGAATTTATCCTCGTGGAAGGAACAGAGCAAGTTTCTTTTTTCGAGGTTCGCGTGCTGGTTATCGCGCGAACCATCAAATACTTTCATTACCATATAACAATTTCCTGCCGGAAGTCGGCGTAGAAATGCGAGTGCCGGCTCTCGTCGCCGGGCAATTTGTTTCAATTACGAACTCGAAGACAACCGACGATCGTTCGTTTCCCCCCTATTTTTCGTTTCTTTCTTTCTACCTCTTTCTGTCGATCTCTTCTCTCCTCCGCCCTTTTTCTCTCTCTCTCTCTCTCTCCGATTCAGAGAGCTTCGCCCATTGTGGCGAAACCGACGTATAATTAACCCCGAGCCACGCTGTCTCTCACTTCTTGGAAGTTTAATTCAATTTGCCTAATCGACGTAAGCCTCGCGATCTTCGATATCTTTGCTATTTTTTTCTTTCTTTCTTTCTCAATTATTCCTTTCTTCTGTGTCTTCTCGACGCCGTATCGCGAGAACGTTACCTTCCCTCGATTCGGTGTAATCGATCAATTACCACAGCGAGTGGAAAGAAGGATTGTACGATTGTTTGAGAAAAGGAAGATTGTAAAACGTTACGAGCATCGTTGAAACGCTCCTTCGTCATCGCTGTTTCCCAAAAGGCTTCTGCTCTCACCACGATTATTCTTTCTCTCTAAATCAGCCATCAGATCGTTCCTTCGTTCGTTCGTTCGGCCGCGAGATCGATCATACCCTCACGAAAATTCGAACGATTCACCTAATGGCCTAATCATCCGAGTAAAAGGAGAAAGAAGGAAAAGCTTCTCTCTCCATGTATAAATCCCTCATTATCGTAGCGAAACGCTTTGATACACAAA